TTGTTCTGTCTGCATAATTACTGAGGATCTGATTTTGAGAGAGTTCAGGGACAAGTTTTGTAGACTTCATGTCCCTCGTAATCCATGACAAGAAATGGACACTGGTAGAATGCCTATTTTGAGACTCTTCTTTAGGATCAAAGCAATCATGACCTAGAAAGAGCAGATAAATCCCATCATTGTTCATTATTAAGTATGCTTTATTTACATTTACATTTGCATTCCTGTCACTGGTAAAGCTTGGGTTTATGTTTGGCTTTTCTTTCTATGCAGCTATGCAGCCAACCCTGCTTATTTAAATCACTCATCACTGATCACACCTCAGATTCCTGGGAGGTAGGTGAGCTCTGCTATAGTCATCTTATGGACATTGCCTCCCAGCCAGAGAGGAGCAAACCCGTCATTCTGCAGCGTTTAGTTTAAACTGTGTCTCTAGCTGATCAATAGAGGCTGTGACAACACTCAGAGTAGTTGAGCTTTGTCTGTTAGGCCTGGTTTTGGCCCAAAGTAAAACAGGGCCCACCAAAACGTGAGCAATCTGCTGATTGAACCGGGTAAATCTATGTACTAGAACCATTTATCTTAAATAACCAGGACAAGCTCATATTCTGCAAATAATTATGTGTGTGAGTAATTTTTCTCATCTGCTTGAAGTTTATTACTGATGCTGGAACTAATCCTATATAGTGCATGGGAAGTATAGAGAAGTACATCCTGATTGCATTAAGTGGAATATTGGGCTCTGTAGGAGAGTAGAAGTGCTATGGATCTGATAATCCAGGCATTTTGTAGACTGGATTCTTGTGTCAGTTTTATAGGCACTATATGGGTACATATTCATAGTCACGGCAAGAGAGTTCAAGAGCAAATGTCTAAGCCAAGCATACTCTGAACATTTAGAGCATTTTGCTAAATTGATTTCTGAAGCCATTCAGTAATTACTCTTTATTCTGAAAAATTCAAAATGAAGCAATATTCTGCCCCACTTTGTCTTTGGTCCAAGATCTCCTATATTTAATGTTGGCTCACTCAGTTTAATAAAGGTATGTGTATGATGCTCTGTGCAAAAAAGAGAGATGCTTAAATGGATCTTTAGATCCAAATCCTCCCTGGAAAAAAAAATGGTACTTAAACTCATCATCACGTATTGAAACATCCTGAGAAAGACAGGCAGGACCAAGAGGAGCATGAGATTTGGAATAATGCTGATGCTTCAGAATTCTGGTTTCATGTTGAGCCTTACACTGGGCTGGACATGCCTGTTTGATAGAACAAGGAGAGTTGTATTAGCTCAGAGTTCATTGAACGTTTTCTGCTTTTTCCTGTTTTTCATTTCAGTGCACATCTTTACCCCCAGACCTGAAACAGGATTAAAATGCCAGAAAGGAGACAGATCACTCAGCATTTCCAATCACGTACCAGACATCTCAGGACACACAGTTCTCACAAGATTTTCTACCCTTTTTAGACCATAAAAGGCTCAGATAACCTCCCAAAGTACACGCTCATCTCTTCAGTCATTAAAAAATGAACGTTTACTGAGAATCGAAACTGGATTCCTACCGCAGTGATCACATTCAATCAATCCAATTTCACTCCATTATTTATGCATTCATTCATTAAGGCAGATAACAGAAGCCTTCATTCAAAATGAGGTTCCAATATTCAAAACAAGGCTGCAATTATGGCAAAAAAGAAAGCCCTGAAGTACTGCAAGGAATCATTTCCATACACACTCTTTCATTTCAGATTGTTATGGTTATTTACTTTTTCTCTTTGATGTTCACTTTTCAGAATGCTCCAGAGAAGCAGCACTGTCATCGTGACTAGAAGAGTACACTCTTCAGTCCCCATGAGAAGCAGGCAAATACCCTATCATCTAAACTACAAACTGGCAAGTTCGAGTTTTGCATTTCCAATTGCCTTCACCTCTGTGCAAGTGAATTTTGAATAAAGCAAGTGATTGACTGGAAATTCCAGTCCTCATAACCAAGTACTTCTGGTGCATGATCTCCTGCAAGGTAAGGCAGTCTCATAAAAACAGCCAGTTAGTTGAACTGCCAAATTGCTTAGTGGCAATAGCATAACTCCTTCATATACTATTTATCTGTCTGTGATAAAATCTTTTAGTCTAGGCCTTGCTGAAGAAGTTGATGCTTTCAGAAATGCCAGCCTTTGTCTCTTTTCCCTGAGTTACTGTGTATTTAAATTAGATTTGGTATTATTTATGTACTCTATAAGTGGTACTACATTTTGGGCCCTAGGCGCAGTCTGCCTTGTCTGTACAGGTTTATACTGCACCTAACACCTAGTCCCTCCATCTGCTAAAGGTAATAAATATAATAAGATAATGTAATGCCATAAAGAGTGATGCTTTTACCAATTAGTCTGCAGCTTACATTTTGGGGTTACTGGAGATAGATCAAGTGGGACCTACTCTGAGAGGGAAGAACTGCAGCCGCACAAAGTCCTTTCTTCAGATCTGCATTTGAATGGCAAAGAGTATAAAGTCACCACTCCAATGTGCTGTGTAGAAACTTTCAACCATGTCACCCACATAACCATGCAGACTCCACACTAGCATCTGTGTTCACAGCAGTCTTGGATCCCAAGGGGGAAAAAATCGGCCATTTGCTAAAGTTTTAATGTTTGGTGGGGTTTTTAAGGTGACTATTTCAGTCATCTGAGCTGAACACTTTAAGAAAAGGGGTGAAAAACAAGGGGCAGGGAGGAGGGATGCAGTAGTTTGGGTCAAACAGCTTTTGAGAGTTGTGGTGCCGTTTATACGCAGAAACAGTGGCATCTAGTGGGCAAGTTTTCAGATGAGAAGAGACAAAATTAGCAGACACTGAATATAAAGCAAGGCAGCAATTAAAGCTAATGATATATTTATCTGCTTCATAGATTAAAGATTTTCCCAAGTCTTTTGTAATCCTCTTCTGTAAAGGCATTTGAAATCAACTATTTTGCCATTAGCTTTCCCATTCTGTATACAACTTTCAGAATGCTTGTTCATCTTATTTTAGCTATATTAAGCCCTCTCGTGGCTTTCATATGCAAATTCTAATTACATAATGCCATATAGATTACCATAGGGAAGCCCATGGTTTGCATGCATATATAGAAGTCTAGCATTTTTTCCCCAAGGTTTTAGACATGGACCAAATAGACCTTGAACACACTTGATCTATTTCCCCTTTAGATGATTTCAAGCACAGCGTGGCTTTGAAGGAAAGATCTGAGTAAAGGGCAAGAATCAAAACACAGTAGAACAGCCACACTGAAGGACTGTGAGAAAAGCTTATTACATAGCTTTTGTAGCTATAAATACGATGTTTATGCAGTGTTAACTTTTTATGCTAATTCTGTATGAGTGTTTTCATTGCTGAGTCATAATAAATGCTTGAGTTAATTTATTTATACCTGACCCTAGGATGCTGCTCTTTTATTAGTCCATGGATCACATGTAAAACACTATAGATGTGTTATGGACATACAGAGATGTATAATAAGCAGGGTGAGGGGGTGCTACATCCATTGCAGTAGTCTAAAGCAGTCACACTCGTCCCATCCCTCTCTCTTTAGACTTCAGTGTTTGCCAGTGCTGAGCAAATGTAAGTTTGCTGTGCTGTGATGGCCTCCTCTTCTCTGTCTCTCTCAGGTAGGCTGAAGGTTGATTCTCTGTTTACTTGCAGGGCCCAAATTAATTTGTATGAATGGAGGACTTGGGTTCTTAAATCTAGCAGAAGAGCTGAATATATTAAAAAGAAATATCTTGGATTCTTCAGGATTACAGAGGCACTGATTGATAGGCTTTAGTCTGGGTTTTTCTTCTTTACCCTCATAATTTCTGTTCTCTCTCTCTTTCTTTACACTTTTTTTCTCCCTGTATTCTCTATGTTTCAAACTTTCCTATATGGCATCTGCTGTTTTTCTTGTCTTGATGGACCAGGAGGTACTTCCATGGTCAGTTCTACCACAGAACAGAAGTGTAGGTACTATTAGGAGAGAGTTTACTTTTGTAAAGAAGCTTTAGTGCTGTAATTCTGTAAACACTGGTGAGCTTTTGATTTGAAACTGAGTGCAGATATGGGTTGGCTCTTTAGCCCATTGACTAGATCAGGTGGCCTGGCACAAATGTAGGCTAAAGACTATTAACACTATACCACAGATTTTTCCCTTATAAAGTGAAAGAGAACATGGAACAGGGACCTGGAAGTACTTCACCTTGCTGTGTTTCTGGTTTTCTCCTTGTGAGTTAGACTTAATAATCCTTTGGAGATACCTATATGAGATGCGGAAAAGCAAACTTAGAACCAATAAACACTGTCTATTCCACGTGTGTGCTTTAGGATTAGCTCTGTATTGCTGAGTTATCCCTAGAAGCTACTATTTAACCTTACTAGTTATCTAACTCATGACTGAATATAAGTAGGTGGGAGTTCTTGTATTTCAGAGAAGTACTTACATCTGCTTTCACTGGGTGAAAGTTGGCATAATTGGGTTTGGCATGAACTTTTCACTGTGCAAGAAAAAGCAGAGCCAGGATTTCACCTAACGACTTTAACTTCAGCAGAGATATGCAAATTGAGATCTGTGTATTGCGAGTATTATGAATGAAGTACACAATAGCAGCCTGATGATACTTTTTTACCCTCCCAGATTTAATCTGTGATTTCATCTTGACGGCAGGGGAAAGCAAGCCTTTGATGCTTTGAGATTTAAATTACTTCCTTGGAGTCATCTAGGAGAGCTCTCTTACTGAAGGAAAGTATACCAGAAGGACTGTCAAACTGTTTCAGCCTATCAGATGCAGCAGTAACTACCTTATATATATGCATAAAACTGTTTTATTTCGCTACCAGTCCTCAGGCTCAGTGCAACTGCAGTGAGGAGCTCTGAAAGTTACTTTGTTCCTTTCATAACTAATTCTGTTGCCACTGCAAACCATAACAGTCATGTAAGAGCCATCAAGACATTGTTCATGTTGTTTTGCAGGTATCATATGTTTACCATCTGATTGTACAAGGTACTCAGTACCAAGGCAAAAGTTATAAAGGCATGCAGGCAGAAATGGCTGGATACATGTGCCTGACCTGTCAGAATTATGAAGGAAAGGGAAAAGCTGTGCAGAAAAACTACAAAATGGTAAAGTCTGCTCCATAGTCCTTCCCAGCTGCTGATCCTAGGAAGTCCTCTGACATCTCCTCACTACTTCACCGTAATAAGCTTCACTTCCAGTGATTTTTGTATGGGAGACTAAAGTAACAAAATCATCTGAAAATGGGTTTGCATCAAGCCTTTATTATGAAACAATACATGAAATAGTCATCAGGCAATTAAACATAGATCAGTGTTGCATAAATGTTATGTCTTCATACAATACTGTTATTTAACCTAGAAAACTTAATTAAGGATTCCTCCAAAGTTAGGGAGCTGGCCTTCTTTTCATGGTTATATCTCCAGTTTTCTATGAACCTCTCCCTCTAAGTTTCTGCTGCTTCAGACAGTCTGAAGTTGTACCCTTAAAAAGCATGCTCTGGCACTAATCAGTGATTTATTCTTGCCCTTACTTCAGAATCCTCTAATGGTTTGGGTTGGAAGGGATCTTAAAGCCCATCCAGTTTCACCCACTGCCACAGACAGGGACACCTTCCACTAGAGCAGGTTGCTCCAAGCCCCTGTGTCCAACCTGGCCTTGAACACTGTCAGGGATGGGGCAGCCACAGCTTCTCTGGGCACCCTGTGCCAGTGCCTCAGCACCCTCACAGGGAAGAGCTTCTGCCTAAGAGCTCATCCCAATCTCCCCTCTGTCAGATTAAAGCCATTCCCCTTGGCTTGTCCCTACAGGCCCTTGTAAAAATTCCCTCTCCTCTGGACTCGCTTCAGCGGGTCTTTGTTCTGATGCTGGGGGCTCAGCAGCTGAACATCGTACTCCAAGTGGCGTACTAAGGGAGACCCTTGATGTATTTATTCATATATGCAGTCATTACTGGTAGAAAATATATGGTGGTCTATAACATAAAACTTCCATTTATAGTTGGAGGTTTTGCTCTATCACTAGGATTGCACTGTATTGCAGAGGTTCAGCTCTGCAATGAGCACATAGACAATGCAGGAATAATCTTTTCCTCCTTAACATAATCATGGTATATATCCTCTTCAGTGGCCATGAAGAGATCTGTGGAAAGAAAGAGATCTGCAGAGAGAAAAGAAAATGTCATTTAAAAACATAACTAATGTTACTGACATTACTAATAACAGAAAGGGCTTCAAATCATTTAAGCACTTCTCTAACATGAATTCTTCACGATCGCCTGTAAGCAGCCATAGCAAAGGATTCCAACAGCCAGCGAGCCAGCTTTCAACTGTGCCTCAGCTGGAAGATGTTTTGAAATCTGCCAACTTGCCTCCTCGGGGTAAGGTTTGGGAATTTTGTGTTTTTGTTTTTAAATAAGTTTCAGACCTTTGTCTTATTGTGGACTAACAGAGCTCCACTGAAGTCTAGCACAGCATCAAAGGCATTTAGATATGTACAGATACAAATAAATAGCAGAATTTTAAGCAGAAACACTTTCTGTCTTTGAAACAGATCAGCCCTGACAGACACCGTCTGTTTTACTTGGTTTTGAAAGTATGGAGCTAAACCTGCAACTTGCATGTTACAAGGTTAACTGTAAGTGATACAGCATCACTGTTATGGTAATGATTCAGATATATCCCAGTTGACAAATCTGATGTCTGTTTGAAGAACGTCAGAAGGAAGGTTCATCCTGTTATAAGCGTTTACAGATGTAAGTATATCCTCTTTTTTGGCATCATTTTGGCTGTTGGGTAATTGGAAGAGTTTACTTGTATTTTATACTCCTTACCTCAATGCATCCCTTTTTTTTAATGTAGCGATAAGCTGATGCTCCATGCAAAACACATAAGGAAAAAGGATGACCATATCAGAAACCAGTTTGCATGGAGTACTAATGGGATGTGTCATTTTGTCACCAATTGGCTTGTTAGTAGTGCCTGGTTTCTGAGCTGTGCTTTGGAACATATTTTCCCATTAAATTCTATGATGCATGTGATAAACAGAGGCAATAAAGCAAATGATGGCATCTATTACACTGATGTTGAAAACTATGCACAGAACTAATAATCCATGCAAGCTCTGAGAGAATGTTCCATGTTAAGGTTTGCCAGAATGTGTACTAAATAGTGAATTCCATCTAAAAAGTCAGCAGTCAGCAAATTATTTCAGCTGAGAATACTGCAGAACAGGCTGAGCTCCTAGCAGGTCAGACTGCATCTTACATATCCTGCCACAGTCCTCCAGAGAGCTAAGTGAACAAGTCCAAGACTTGAACAGATGAGTTGGAAAAGGAGCACGAGCAGACGGGAAAGAAAGAGGAGCAGTCTGAAGCAACATTATTAAGAATGTTTTGTGGTCACCAACTTAGATCCAGCACAGAAATTGATAACCACATGTTTTAGTAACAGCAACAGACTGCAGTGACACAGTTGATGCCAAGGACACTTATGTTCCCTGCCACTAATCTGTCGCCAGACACCTTTTAGCACAAGGTACTTCCTCCAGCCACTGATTATTCTCTCCTCTTCCTGTTTGTGGCTCTGCCCTTTATTACAAAGAAAGAAACAGGCACTGCAAAATAAATCTATCTACCATTTGTGGGGTAGGCAAGACCATTAGATTGGATGCACCAGATCCCTGTTGCAGTGTGGGACGCAATGCGGATTCAACCAGTGTTCAAGGAATTGTTCTTCTGCTCTCTGCTCCAGGCGCTGGAGGTAAAGCATGTACTCCTGTTGGAAGACAAGAAAAAGTAATTTAATTATGTGATCACTCAAGTCTAATGTCAGGCCAATGAACCTTACATATGAGCAAGTAATTTACCCCTTAAAATCATCAAATACAGTGAAATGGTGATGCCAATCAACTTCCCCACCCTAGCAGTATTTACTGACTGACATCAGTAAAAGTGTTGAGCAAGAATTTTACAGTATTCATAAATCAGGGATTCTGCATACACATTTCTTATTTGCATAGAGGCACAGAAGCTTCTGTTGTTCCTGAGGGTACAGAAGGATTCTCACAGATAGGTCTGTTGTAGCCTCTTTTGAAAATAGATTCCTGCTGATTAAAAACCATGAACCCCTGACAGGATCATATGGCAGTACACCAAAGGGTTCTAGTTAGTAGCGTGCATCAGTGCTGACCGGTCTTTGTGTGAGCCATAAAATCATGTGCATTTCCCATACTAATTCATAGGGGGTTGGTGTAAGCAAAGAGTTACCAAACTGAGGTGGGCTGTGTACCAAAAACCAGACCTGCACCAGAACAAAACTTACTTTTAAAAACTTACAGCCCCAGTGCCTGAGGGCTCACAAGCTCTGTGAACACTGGGTACAGGTTTTCATATATATGGTCCCCCCACTGCTTTGCACAGTAGGTGTTGCAGGATTGGAAGCTATAGTGTAAACCCTTTGCACTGGCCAAGTATTCCTGCTGTGCTCCAGCTCTTTGTGCTGAGCAGAGGGTTGGTACACTGGGGGCCAGCAGGAAGCATTAGTATCCTGGTTTTTAATGTGCTTTCTCTCCTGGCAGCACAGGGAGACTTGGCTCAAATCCCTCTGTAAGACTGCATTACGAATTTGTGGAGAACAGAACTATATAACTGATAGGATGCTGCAGGATTAAAAGCAGGGTCTCAGTCAAAATAAGATTAAAACATGCTGATAAGATAAATGACACTTTAAAAATAATCAGAAATGGCAGATCTTGCTGTCTGTAACTGAACAGGCTTTTTGAGTGAAACAGCACTTGGAAGGCAAACAGTGTCACAAAGAATTGCAAATTAAATTCCCCAACTCAGCATGATCTGGCCTAGTACAAACAGCTTCTGCTTAAAATAGACGAACAGAGGTGGGTTCATCCCAGCATTCATTTCATTCTGCTACAAAGAATCCATACAAAAGCAGGTTTTCTCCTAGAGCCAGGGTACAACTGTGCACAGGGATAGAGGAGCCATGCACCTTCATTCACAAGGGAAAATCCCTGAGTTCCTCATGGAGGAGGAGGATAGGTTTTCTATAAGTAGATATTTGTTTTTATACTGAAAACCTTTACAATTAGTGAGGAAAACAAATACTCTTCTCTTTGGGTTTTCTTACAGAAAGGCAGCATTGCTGTATAGGAAGAAAATTTTAAAAAAGGACATAAAAAGAAGGTTGGAATGTCTCAAAAAGTGTTTGCTACTGATCATGGTGGGATGGAAGTGGTGAGGACAGAGCAGCAGAGGTCAGTGATCAAACACTTTTCTAGCCCTAGCTCCCTTTAGTCCCCACCTAGAATCACAGAACCACAGAATATGGAAGGGAAATTGGAAGGGACCCATAAGGGTCATTTAGTCCAACTCCCTCCTCTTCACAGGGCTACCTAAAACTAAACCATAGACTGAGTGTTGTGTGGTTTTGGCTCTATTATACAGTCTTCATTGCACAAGATTGTTAACCAGCATGATGTGATATCCTTGTGACAGCTTTGAGTTGCTCTGGCCATCACACTTGACAAAAAAGCATGTGCATCAGGAATGGCACATGGCCAGGTGGCTTCTTTTTGGCTGGTCTACAATAACCACTGGAAAGAGAAGCCCACGGGCTGTCTCCACAACCCTGCCACACACTGAGCTCAATCCTGCAAGGTACGTAGCACTCCTCATGTCCTACAGAGTTCAGAAGTGTTCAGCACCTTGCTAAACTGAGCCCCACATGTGCATTCGTCACACATGCACCGTCTATTGTGAGCTTTCTCACTTCTGTGGGTTTTGCCTCTTCAGGACCATGTCATTTGAGCACAGTTTATTTACTTTGGAACGAAATAGGCAGTAATTTTAAAATACCTTAAGTACCTCTTGAGAAGTGCAGAATTATACATTACATCTTGTCAAAGCAAGTAAAACAGAAGGTTCTTTAATTCTTTTTCTTTTCTTGTAATACAGTTTAGAAATAAATACAAATATTTCCTGCAGTACCAATGCTGCTGCCTTAAGCTAGCAACTGAAAACTCCTACCATATCATAACAAACCATCCTATCTGTAGCATCCATAAATAAGTGAAAGAAATTATTTTAAAAGCTAGCTGAGAACTACCTCAATCTCCACACCGACCACTGACACCTGCATCTCCTTTCTGCCTTGAGTGAATGTGCTGTAAGCAGAAGACATTTCCTGTTATTTAGTTCTTCAGAAACAACCTGATGAAATCCACATTTCTATAAATGAAAAGCCACTTTCTTCTCCATAATTTAATTGACTTTTTTGAACCGTGATAAATAATTTCCACATTCTGCAAGCATACATTTCCTCAGCAACATTCAGCACTTGCAGAATGCTGCTTAACAGTAATTGAAAGAATGTAAAGGGGGGGGGGTAATATTTCACAGAAGAACTCAGCTGCTTAAAAGAGCGATATTCATAAGATACTGCTTGGAATTAAATCTCTATAAATCTAATACTAAGCACAAATGTTTTGGGGCTTTTGGTGTTGTGGGGGTTTTAGTTAATATAATTTAAAACTGAAAGTCATAAATCACCCTCATTGGCTCATCAGGGAAACCAGCTTTTCTCGGTCTGTCTCCACGGCGAGTTCTCAGAATCTGTTTGGCATCTTTTCCAGCCAAAACTGGGGAAGTGTCTAAAGATAGAAGAGTAGAAATTAGCTCTGAAATTACCAAAACATTAACATTTTATCTGTCAGTTGTAAAATGAAACGTCTCCAAACCTGATTTTTGTCTATATACAAAGTGTGCTTTCATTACAGCCCCTTCCCCAGGGGATATTGCATTCCAGGAGATACGAGTGGAATTTTAAACCGTTTTTATGCTTGTGCTTTCTCTAGTTCTACCTCTATGAAGCAAACCCTACATATTTGTATTACTCTCTAAAATGAGAGAATATAGCAGTACCATCTAATCACTGGCGTTAGTGATTCCAGTTCTTTGTTCTTTTCTGTGCTGCTTTACTGTTTAGGACTATATTCAAAGTAATGAGTTAGCCTTTTGTTGCAAAGGAGAGCTTCCACTGAACATTTTGCTTGCAGAACCTTGTGCAAATAATATTAAAATAGTAAGCTAGGAATATTAAACTTTTTGGTTTTACAAGAAATGAATGTGGAGAGCAAAACATGGAATACAATAGCGTGATTGTTAAAAGTCAAATCATGGAAAGCCTGCAATGTAAAAATAGGTGTTAAAAATGAAATATGAAGATAGTAAAATGCAAGGTTGTGGAACTAATACTGTTATGACATGCTCTGCTGTGCTACATACACATGCAGGTTTGTTCTATACAAACTCCTACCTGTAAAAGTGGTCATCAGGATCAAAACGGAGACACACACAAGAAACGTCTTCATTTTGATTCTGCTTTCTCTCAGCCTGTTCCGAAATGAGTCGCGCTGACCGAGGCATCAGCCTATTTGAAGTAGCTACGTCAGTCACAAGTGTTTGTTTATGCTTTGACTAATCTGAGTGATAGCATAATTCTGAAGACATCTGGCCTGAGGTTTTGAATTAGGCTGTTATCTGCTCACACGTCCTCAGCATAACTCTGTTCCTGAGGGACAGAAAATAGAAGTCCTTTTTTCCACGTCAGGCTTCAGAGTTACACTGGATAGTTTACATTTGTGAAACCAAAGCAATGGGTTTGGGTGCCTAAGGTGAGCAGTTGCTCTTGAAAAGAAACAGTTGCCCATTACTGAATGTTAATGTTACAGGCTGTTGCAGAGGGACCCCTTTTTCAGAAACTGTCTCAAACTGCAGCACAGAAATGCATATTAATAGGGTTTAACTCTAGCAAAGGCAAATTGTCACTGCTGGAAAACACAGCAGAGAGGTTTTTATTATAGCGTTAATAGAACCATGCAAATGAAAACTCGCAGAATTCTTCTCTTTTCAGGACAAGGAAAACTGGATCATAAGAAACAGGATTGTAAGTGTTCCTGACTAGTAAACAGTGTGAAGTAAGAATGTAGGATAAGAAATGTTGCTGCAAGCAGCTAGTTTCTGCCTTGAGAAATACGGCAGAGGTCCTCTTCCAAGCAGCACTGTGCTGGACATACAACATCACCAATCTGTAGGAAAAGAAGTAAGTGTCCCTTTGAATCTAGGGTATGAAACAGGGAGTCAGAATCCATCAGCGGCTCACACAAGGGACATGAGTGATTAACATTCCCCTTTGGAGAGGACATGTAGCACATCCCTGTATCTCCTGCACCTCAGGGGTTCACCGGGGCTTGCCAGCCCTCCTCATTGGAGCCTTTTTATTTGCTGAAGAGGTGGTGTTTATTGCCCTGTGCCACCGTGCCTGCACAAGTCAGGGTGACCTGTGGCAAAGAGTGTGAGTCTCAATGAGATACAGAAAGGTTCAGGAAGTCCAACAGCAGATCAGAGCAAGGCCGGTGAGTGCCCCTCAGGCAGACACCTTGGGGTGTGCTCAGCTGCTGTACCCACTGGTTGCCAGCTCCTTAGCTAGCCAGGCTGCATTAGCACAGCTCCTCACGCTGATCTTTACCGTCTGTAAAGGTCTGACAGAAACAGTGTGCTGTAGGTGTGAGGGCTCGTGAGAGCCGCAGCAGGGGATGGAAGCGCTCAGGGCTCGGGCCATGCTGGAGCTGGGGCATCCCATGATGGGACTTCCCTTGGAAACCGGAGTGTCGTTAAGCTGTGGCACGCTGGCATTTTCCAGCGTGTGAACAGCCTAAAATCCAAGAAATGTTGTGTCTCTTGTGTGGATGTCTGTAATTGTTCAAGGTACTGCGTTGGAAGTAGGAAACCCTGTCGTTTCTAATAGCAGCGGCTCTTTATTTGCAGAACTGCTGCCGGGGAGCCGTGTAACGTGTGAGGACCGAACGGAATTAGGGGGAAGCGCTTCTGGCTGGGGTCACAGGAACCGGCAGTGCGGTAACCGGGCCCGGAGCTGGCCCGGCAGCGGATGCTCCACCGTGGCCCTTCTCCCCGGGTTGCCGAAGCCCCGTTCCCGGCGAGCTCCCGCCATGCTGTGGCTGGAGCTAAGCGAGGGCCGCGCTACCCCGCGTTGTCGTGGGGGGGCTGGCGATAGGCCCGGTGTCGCGATAAGCCCGTAACGAGCCGGCCCGAGCCCGGGCGGCGCCCGTCTCCTGGCAACCGCCGTTTCCGCTTCCGCCGCCCCGCGCATCTCCGCGGCCGCCGCTCGCCTCCTGCTCGGCCCAGCGGGAGCCGCCGCCGGGACCCCGCGGGGGCTGCGGAGGGGGAAGCGGGCGGGCGGCGGAGAGGAGGTGTGTGAGGGGCCGGGACCTCGGCGCGGTGCCGGTCTCGTTACCCCGAACCCCCGCAGAGGGGCCGTGGTGGCCGTGGTGCGTTCGGGGCAGCCGGGGCCCTGCGGCGGCTCCCTCCTGGCGGGCGGGAGGAGGCTGTTGCCGGCCGGCACTGTGCTGGGCCCGGGCGGGCGGCGGGTGCCCCGCGCAGCCGGCGGGCACCGGCATCCTGTGGCGGGTAGGTCGGGTGGCCCCTCGTGGGGCAACGAGGTGCTTGGCCCTAGTAGGGGTTAAAACATGTTTGATGAGGCTGCGCGTTGGCTTCTTGGACTAGGGGCCCGTTGCCGGGCTGGCCCTGCCGTCTCCCCGAGTGCTGTGAGGGGTTAGGCCGGCGAGGCTGAACTGCCGAGGGATGGAAGGGACGGGCAGCGGGAGCAGCGCTTCCTCCTCGGTCGTCACAGACAACAGTTTGGTGTTCTGGACTCTGTGCTCCGTGCTCCTGCCGGTGCTCATCACCCTGTGGTGCAGCTTCCAGCGGTCCCGGCGGCAGATGTTGATCCGAGATATCTTTCGGAAGAGCAAGCATGACTGGCACTACACAGACCTCTTCGGGCAGCCCTCCTACTGCTGCGTGTGTGCTCAGCACATCCTCCAGGGCGCTTTCTGCAACTGCTGCGGCCTGCGTGTCAGCGAAGGCTGCCTCAAGAAGGCTGACCAGCTCTTTCACTGCAAGGAGATTATGATGAGCAACAGCGGAGCCCGCAGCTCCATGCCACACCACTGGATCAGAGGCAACGTCCCGCTGTGCAGCTGCTGTATGGTCTGCAGACAGCAGTGTGGCACACAGCCCAAGCTCTGCGACTACAGGTACTGCAGGGGGATTTGACTTCGTATGAGTAAGTACGATGCCATATCCGTAGGGTGATTGGAGCATGTTACCCCGAAGGGGGTCCTGCAGGAGTCAGGTGTAAAACCCTGTTAAACAACTTCAAAGAACCTAAAATTAAAATGGATGCTTGTGGGTAGTTGGAATCAAAGATTAAGAGTGTGGCATTATATCTCCTGTCTGCTTGCTCTCTTAATTGCATTACTCAGACTGGTGTGCTGTCTACCCTATAATTACATTTAAAAGGCTATCTGTGTCCAGGAGAGTGTGTATTTTAGGGGATGACCTGAAGAAGGTTCTAACGCCCTTGTCATTTGTGTAGTGGGTATCCTGAGCAATTTGGGTGGCACAGCTCTCAGTTCAGAGGTATCTGCTCAGTCTAACTAGAACAACCATCTTAAAGCTACTGAAGTTCATTTCTAAGGATACTCCAAAAGAAAGACAATGGGAAATTTTAAGAGCTTCTATAATAGAATCTGTTGTTAAAGTTTGTGGTGAGAGTGTTAAAAAATGCAAGGAGCCATTAATGGGCTTGCAGAGTTGTCAGCATGACACATACAGGCATGTTATGCCAAAATACAGTGCTAGTGATCTAGGTCCTAGGTACAGCGTGTTACTTCAGCCTTCTCGAAAGATGTCATCTTTCCATTATATATTCTGCCAGCTTTTGCTTTGTGTCTGTGTAATGCTGTCAGATTGCTTGGTAAGTAAGCAGAAAATGAGCACACTATTGGAAACAAAACCTTGAGAGAGTGTGCATAGCAGAGGAGGGAAGGAGAGGGGTTTGAAGGCAAAGGGGGAAGGAAAGAAGTCACAGTACAGGGTACGTATCATTGTACTCTGGTGTGCTGGATTAGTCAGGAGGACTCCAAAAATAGCTTTCACAGCTGCTTAAACCAAGGCTTTGGATGTAGCAAATGAAGATTAACATTCTGCAGAGGCTGGTGGTGGATATTGCAGCATTTCCTCTTGTTCTGGCCCGTTTTCCAGGACAGCTTTTAGAATGCGTAATAAGCAGAGCAATTTTGCATAACAAAATCCCAGCAGCCTTATACCCCACTGTGTAACCCTTTAGGTTTCAGACTTAAAGGGTTATTCTACATCTTACAAAATTTATTAATGAATGTTACTTGTAACACTATTAATTTGAACTCTAGTGTTTCGTCTGTGCTCTTTAAGGATGGATAGAGTTCAGTTTCTCTTTCAGTGTGACTGTTAGTATTGCAGACAATGCAGAAGGATGTTTATAGCACCTAGGTTTGGAATTAAAAAGAATAGAGTTAATTTTAAACTATTGGGTTTGGGTTTTTTCCTCAGAATTCAAATGCTTTTCTAAACTTGCAAGCACAATGGCCTACTTATGTCAGTTTCTGTAGCCAGTGTGTTTAAAATACTACTTACAGTGGTGCATGTAAACAAGCCCTTTCAGAGTTAGGGTATCTAAAATAAATGAGCAATATTGATGCGCCTGTTGTTTGAGGATTTCTTTTCCATGGCTTTTGGTCTTTATTCCAGATGTGTGTGGTGCCAGTACACTGTCCATGATGAATGCATGGTGGATTATTTAAAGACACAGAAGTGTACATTTGGAGAATTCAGAGACTTAATTATCCCACCATACTATTTGTCTACAATCAACCAGATGCGTAAAGAGAAAAGAACTGATTATGAAAAGGTAATGGTCTGCTGCTGCTTGGGTTTTAATATTTTTTTTTAAGAACCCCTGACAAGCAGAAAAACCCCTACGCACATTAAAATTTGAACTCAGAACATTAACTCAGGTTAATCACTCTCAGGTGAATGAATGTTTCAATACCTATGAAGTACTTGCAGTGTTAATTCTCAAGTGTCTTGTCATTTTACTAACATGGTAGTTGGAGCATGAGCATACGTTTGGATTTTGTTACTCCAAAAAAACACTGAGATTTGGGTACCTTGCTTGCATGTTTTGTGATTTTTCTGCTACTGGGTTCCTAACATTGTAGTATTTGTTGTCCTAGGCACTGCAGAACAGAGATCTTCAACCTTTATGTTTCTGTTTTGACTGCCTCAGGCTAATTGGTAACTTCCTCATTTCCGCACTTGCAGGGGACAGGTTTTGGAGCAAGGCTGTAAACGTTTCCAAATGTGCAGTGGTTTTGTGTCTGACTGACTTCTACCCTTTTGCAGGTAGCACCTTACTGCAGAAAACACTGGATGCCAGTAATTGTGCTGGCCAATACTCGCAGTGGAAACAACATGGGTGAAACTTTACTAGGAGAATTTAAAATTCTGCTGAACCCTGTTCAGGTATTTACAGTGAAAAGCCACTATAATAAAACAAGAAGTTTAAAGTAGAACATGGCTTTGCTTACACAATGGTAGTAGGATCTTATGGAGGATCAGTAAAGGAAACAAGTTCATGCAGTTTGTTCTTTTAGAGCAAACAGCTTTATAAGAGAGAAACCAAAAGTGCAGAGGCTCCTCCCACCCCCAGTTTGTTACGGTTCTAATGCCAGCTGAGGTTTTTATTTC